CTGTAAAAGTGAAGAATTCGCCTGTTTTCATGTTTCATGTACAACAAGTCATTCTAAGAATAAAAAACTCAAGATAGAGAGGTGTGAAATGGAGAAGTCTTGATCAACAAAGAATGTCTACTGTAATTTGGTTTAACTGACTGAACTGGCCACCATAGTCTTGCATAATGTTCAGAAGTTAAAAGAAACATGTCTATTCAAGGTCACTCGCCTCTTACTTTTGAGTCTTGCTTCTTAATTTGGCATTCTCTTATCTTTCATCTCATATTTCCTGCTTTTCTCCTCATACTTGAACTTCACTTTTCTTTTTCGCTCTATTTGTCTCATTCCTAGCAGGACATGTCTTATCCTTTCAAGCACTCAGGCAAACATCACTGGCCGGCCATTCAGAGATATGGAGAAAGACAACGTAGGAAAGGAAGGAGGAATGGGAGAAGAGAGGGACAAAGAGAAAGATGAGGAGAGCTAAAGTGAAGGTGGAAAAAGACATGGTTTTTGGTTTCACGTAAATGTAAAATAGAAAAGAGAAAGGAAACACATACTCTAAGAAGAAGAAGAGAGCAGGAAATAAATTGCATGAGGAGGAGAAAAAAGGGGATGACAAGGAAGTTAGTGAGAAGAACAGCAGAAGGAGAGCTATGAGAAAGTGAGTGTGAAGGGCAAAGTCGGAGAGAAACCGCTGCCATTATTTCACCTCATAAAAACGTCATTGTGTTGGCTGAGAACGTGATGGGCTGTGTGAAGACCCTGCGGACTTGGGGAAAACAGCACCACCTTGCATTATCAGCATTTACGCCCACTGTCTTTTGTGAATATTAAACTTTATGTAGCTGCTGGTTCAGAGCATAGCTCTCGTTTCCTCTACTAATAAACATCAAGTTTCAAGGAATAGTTCGACATTCTGGGAAATTTGCTTATTCGCTTTCTTAAAAAGGGTAGATGAGAATATCAATACCACTATCTTGTAAGTTAAAAATCCACCTCCTATGACCTCTAAAAAGGACAATAATTAAGACATTTTATACAATTTGTTTAATCCATACAAACAGAGATGGCTAAAAATGAGTATTCCCCATTTAATGGGGATTATGCGCCAGATTATTTCTTGGCCCAGATTGGTAACTTTCCTGGAGTCTCTGCTGGTTACCTGGCAAATAGTCTGGCACACAAAACAACACCTCCAACACTTGCATTAGGAGGAACCCAGGGCCAACCGCAGCAGCATATGGTCTCACAAGTGGTCTGAGGATCTCATCTCGGTACCTAATGGCTGTCAGGTTACCTCTGGCGAGCACATGGAGGGCTGTGCGGCCCCCCAAAGAAATGCCACCCCACACCATTACTGACCCACCGCCAACCGGTCATGCTGGAGGATGTTGTAGGCAGCAGAACGTTCTCCACGGCGTCTCCAGACTCTGTCACGTCTGTCACATGTGCTCAGTGTGAACCTGCTTTCATCTGTGAAGAGCACAGGGCGCCAGTGGCGAATTTGTCAATCTTGGTGTTCTCTGGCAAATGCCAAACGTCCTGCACAGTGTTGGGCTGTAAGCACAACCCCCACCTGACGTCGGGCCCTCATACCACCCTCATGGAGTCTGTTTCTGACCGTTTGAGCAGACACATGCACATTTGTGGCCTGCTGGAGGTCATTTTGCAGGGCTCTGGCAGTGCTCCTCCTGCTCCTCCTTGCACAAAGGCGGAGGTAGCAGATCCTGCTGCTGGGTTGTTGCCCTCCTACGGCCTCCTCCACATCTCCTGATGTACTGGCCTGTCTCTTGGTAGCGCCTCCATGCTCTAGTCACTACGCTGACAGACGCAGCAAACCTTCTTGCCACAGCTCGCATTGATGTGCCATCCTGGATGAGCTGCACTACCTGAGCCACTTGTGTGGTTTGTAGACTCCGTGTCATGCTACCGCTAGAGTGAAAGCACCGCCAGCATTCAAAAGTGACCAAAAAAGCCAGGAAGCATAGGAACTGAGAAGTGGTCTGTGGTCACCACCTGCAGAACCACTCCTTTATTGGGGGTGTCTTGCTAATTGCCTATAATTTCCACCTGTTGTCTATTCCATTTGCACAACAGCATGTGATTGTCAATCAGTGTTGCTTCCTAAGTGGACAGTTTGATTTCACAAGAGTGTGATTGACTTGGAGTTAATATTGTGGTGTTTAAGTGTTCCTTTTATTTTTTTGAGCAGTGTAATTAGTGAGCTTTAGAGGTCTAAGTAGGTGGATTTTGTGACTTTTGGACAGAGGCAGGCTAGTTATTTCCCCCCCGATTTACAGTCTTTATGCTAAGATAAACAGCTGCTGGCTGTACCTTCATATTAAGTGCACAGACATCAGAGCGATATCAATCTTCTCATCAAACTCTTGGCAAGAAAGCGAATGCACGTGTTTCCCAAAATGTCAAGCTATTCCTTTAATCATCGCTTTGTCTTTCCAAACTCCTAACTTTTCTCGTCATCGACTACCGTACCTCACTCATTGAAAGCCATTTGAATGGCATGTGCTCCAAGTGATTAGAGAGGAATAATATTTTTAGAGCAATCACCTTGCCCGTAGGTGGAGGAGGTGGACTAACTATTCATTCTCTGTCACAGCACTCTAGAAAGCTGGTAGGCCCACTTAGCACTGTAATAAATACTCTGAGAGCCGAGGGATGGTGGAGATAGAGGGAATGAGAGTGGTAGATGACAGAGGGAGAGCCGATGAAGAGATGCAGAGAGAGACAGTAAGAGGAACTGAGAAAGAGTAAGAAACAGAGGCAGAAGAGGAAAAGCAAAAGGTGGAAATTGTTCTGAAATAAATAGAGCAATGCGCAGAAGTGAAAAGATTGAGAGCAACAGAAAGACAGCTCTAGAGATACCCTCGAGCTGCTAACTCTAAAAGAGACCCCAGTCGTAACACACATTTAATCTTTCCCTTCGCTTTCCTCTTCATTCTTCTTCTGTGGGGATGCGGAGCGGTCGCGGCTGCCAGCAGGGGTTTGGCAGACACAGAGCTCCACGGCTGATGCAGCTCGGAGGATTGCTTCCTCCCAGTTCTGTTTTGTCTTCACGGCCATTTGTGTGAATTATGACCCAGCCCCTAGCAAGACATTACAAACATGTGCTAGCTGATAGGCTCATAAATTCACGCAGCATCTCAACGGCCACCATGCACTGTGTTGTCTGTAGTCAAATAGAAACAACAAGAGGCCCGTCCTGCCAGGATTGTTCCAGGTCCCTGTGGCTATGACCAACAGAAGTGTTGTTTAATGAGGTTTATTCTGATTGCTGCTGCAATGAAGGCCATTCTTGTAGCTCATTTGAAAATGTTGAAAACATTAAATGAGACGCAGGTGATTTAGGTCTTTGTGTCTCTAAACAGTCTGTTTGTAGTTCAGCACTATATGTCAAGAAAGACCAACAACAAGTTTGTTTGATTATTCATAAACATACACACACACACACCTAATGAAGAGATGCAGAGTAAACATCTAAAAACAATTAAACTTTCAATAAATGTTTTTAAAAGTGCGTGAATGAATCCAAAATTGTAACCCTAACCCTGGATCTTCAGTGCGCATGTGTAGGCATAGCGTGTGTGTGTCGGAAGAGGAACACTTGCTGAAAAGACGGAGCTGAGTTGTCCGCACCTCGCGGGACTTTCGGATAATTTATCACCGTTGATGAACCACACAAAGAATATTTTATTATTTTTAAATAGCTGGCTTCTTGAAATAGACTCGCGACATGCATGTAGTTCTCAGCAGCCCCGCAATCGCCGTGCACAAAAACACACAAAAAAAAAACACATGATTCGACTATAGGCAGGGGACAGCCCTAATATATATAAAATACTATAAGAACTGGCCTGAGGTTCATATACACCTCTGGATTACCAACAAAGCAGTCAAGTACCCTGGGGCCCAAGAATGCCAGGTGCCTCAATTGCTTCAGGAAAACCATGTTATGAAAAAGTTACAAGCCTTAAAAAAATAAAAATAAAAAAATAATCAGACAACAGAAAGAATAATACTAACAACAGGTAACAATAATGAAACAAGACCAAACTGCTAAGAACAGACACAAATAGCAATGGAGTATAAAGAATTTACAATAGTCCTGAATTCTGCTAAAGACTACAGATCCATTCAGTTCAATTCCTTTTGCAAACCATCTCTGTGCAAGCATTGGAGACAGTAGATAGAGGTCTTGTCAACTGAGGGAAAAAAACAGCAAGACGACTATATAAAAACTGCAACAATTAGTTGATCGAAGGAAAATTAACTGTCAACTATTTTGATCGATTAAATGTTGCAGTGGTTTATTTAAGCAAACTGTCAAACATTTGCTGTTCATCTTCTTAAATGTAAAGATTTGCTGCTATTCTTTGTCATTTATGATAGTAAATGCCCGGTTAAAATACTAGCAGAGCAAGCATAGAAAAAGTGTCTATTGCACAGAGATGGGGAGGAATGTGAAACTAATAGGGGACCAGCAGCTAATTTGTGACCCAGGGGCCCCATGACAGATTAATCCCCCAATGCCTCAACCACGTTTGCCATCCTGTGTCTTCAGATTGTCCCATTAGGTTTTCCAAGAGAAAGGATGCAAGGCCCCCAAAAGGTACAGGTTCATAAGTATCTCCTTGGACGCTGTACCTCCCACATTTACTGCAACACTGTTTTCTTGAGTTTGCTATGTCTGTGGATTCACTACACATGCCACAGAAAGCACACACGCGCACCTTAGTGTAATCTATGCCCTCTAACTTTGAGGTCAGGGTAGTTACAAGAATTAAAGCGGCTTATAGTCCTTATGCAACACCTGCACCAGCATTCAAATTAGCTTAGTTAGACATTTCCATGAAAAACACTGAAATTACAGACAGAGCAGACGGTTAAATGAGTCCAAAGCATTTACAAAGATAACAATTTAGTTTAAACCATTTGCATAGCCAGTTATCTGTTCGAATTCAAAACATTCCCCATGTTTACACAGGTGTCTAAATTACCTTTGATTCAGGCTGGCTGGGCACGGTAGCATGTGTTCGGTGAAGGTCTCGGTTTTGTGGTTCGTTCTCCTTCTCGCTGATTTCCGTCATCTCGGCTCAGAAAATGCTCTTCCAACAGCAAACCTGACACAAATTGATAAGTCCACGGTGGCAAAGGAAATGGGGGAGCTATGCCCACAGAGGTTTAAACATTGCTACAGTTTCTCATCCGAAGAGGTAGAGCTAGTTTTAACTGTCAAGTCATCTTTCATGGGGACCATCCATCTGGGAATTTGCTTTAAGTATAATACGGTATTCCGTCGAAAAGGTGCTTCTTGTTTTCTGGTTTAAACTGGTGCCGAAAAGACCGATAATGATATATTCGGCGGAAGCAAATATGCAGTAGCCGCCGCCAGTAGGTTTATCCACTTTTCTCCGCTGCCTGGCTCCTCTCTCATCCACCGGCCAGTTTTCCTCCCCTCGCGCGCACACACGCGCTCTTACAACAACTTTGATTTCGCCGTTACAACGTCCTCGCCTCGATCCGATTGGTCCAGACTCCTCAAAATATGCCAAAGGGACCGGTGGAGCGCGCCTGGATTGGCTGAGAGATGATGACGCTTGAAGAAATGGGTAGGTATAAGATGCAATATCGAATTCTACAGGATTTAACTTGTTTGTAATCCCGCATGCTGTTTACATCTTTAATTTCCGGTATATAATATTATAATAATAGGATTCACATCAACAATGTGTATTGTAAAGATGGGTAACAAATGGAAGAAGAATAAACAACAACAAAGTGTTGCACCTTGGCTGGGGTTGTACAAGTCTCTTCAGTGGAAGGATGAAGGATAATCTCTCATTTGATGTTTTGATGAAGGTGGTGTTCCTGTAGAGGAAGAAGTAATCTTTAACTTAAAAGTAAAAGCAACAATACCGCAGTGTAAAAATACTCTGTTACAAGGAAAAGTCCTGCATTCAAAACCTTACTTGAGCAAAAGTAGGCCTACATAAGTATTGGCATCAAGATATACTTAAAGTAGATACTAGCTTAATGTAAACGCACTCATTATGCAGAAAATGCACATTTCAGAATACTATTTATTAGTGGAGTATGATTATTGATTGCATTAATTTCAGCTGCCTTATTCTATAATAATACATCAGCATAAATTAATTTAGATTTATATGTTGTGTTATAATCTGAATCTGCAAAGATATTAATGCTGTCAAATAAATCTAGTGAAGTAAAATGTATAGCCTAGCATAAAATGGAGTATGAAATGAAGTACTTCAAAACTGTGGTTTTAGGTGGGGACAAAAATTAAGTAAAGTACTTGAGTAAATATACTTAGTTACATTTCATCACTAGTGATGAATAATTGGAAGCTACTCCTGTAGCCTACTGTACTTGAACACAATTTGAGGTATTTGTATTTTACTTGAGTGATTCCATTATAAGCAACTTCTCTACCACTACATTTAAAAGAGAAATATCATATCATTTACTATTTATTTGACACCTATGGTGACTTTAATGAAAGTTTTTAATACAAAACATAGGATCATCATTATAACATATGACATGTTGTTAGAGATTAAACTACTCAGCAGTGTATTATGTAGTTACAATATGCTGCAACTTTACCAACTAGTACAAGTAAAATGTTAGTTTTACATTAATGTATCAGGAACAATAATCCAGAAATATGATATATAACAATATTACAAGATATTTGTTCACTTCGTCCACCACTGAAAGCATCTGCATTCATTATGTTTCGCCACTCATTTATTCGGGTTTGTCCTTTAATTTACCATATGAAACTCTTGGAGTTGCTTTAATGATTTTAAAACCCATGTACTCACAGCAACTGAAATCAAAAGATCACTGATGCGCACAATGAGTTGTATGCAGGCCAATAATCTTATCTTAATGTCCATCAGCAAGAAAACAATAGCACAAAGATATAAGAAGAAGCTCCTGCTGCCCCTCTTGGTATGGTAAAAAAAACCCAAAAAACATAGACCCTCACAGGTGCATGCTGGTCCTGTACCTGTTTAACTACATCAACCTGAGGTAATGTTTACCACCTAATTCTTACAAAAGAAATAACTAGCAAAAGAAAATGTTATCTCAAATTAGTATGAACATTACAAGCTAACAGTGTTGGGGTGTAACACAATCATTTAGAGCCAGTGATGACCAGACACACACAGCAGTCTATAGAGAGCACCAGCAGTCAAGCATGGGTGGCTGATTCAGCACCAAGGACAGCTCCTCTCTGCCCTCCTGCCTCTGTGTGTCTCAGTAATCATCAGCCTTCCCTACATATAAAACTGCAGGCTTTCATACCAAATTATGATTGTTGTTGACTGAAATGGCACTGACATTCATCTGTGAGATCTATCTGTCTGTCTATCTTTCTATCTATCTATCTATCTATGCAACTACATTGTTTCTTTTCTGGTAAGAGAGGAATATTCTCTCAGAGGCAGAGTAGGTCTGTACACCATGTCCCAGTTTTTTAATGGCAGTTGTCTGAAACAATCATGGCTGGCCTTGAGCAGCTTGACAATGAACTGAAAACCCCTTCCATGCACCAATGAAACAATATTGTGTTGTGGTGCAGCAGGTAATTATGTAAATGATAGACTATATTATTTGATCATAAATGCATGGAAAAACTGATAAGGACTTCTCAAGGGCTTCTCAGTGTAATTGAGTGCCAGAGACAGAGCTAGTATTTGCTTTAAAACTCTGCTATGAATTGATGGTTTGACCTTACTGTATACTGTAGTGCTGCATATCTACATCTATAGCCTATATAATTCCATATTATCACAGCTCTCACCCAATAGTTATTTACAAATACAGTTTTTGTTTGCATATCACAGATCTGATTTGTGTCCATTTTGAATGCAAATCTTATTAGTCATACCACTCAAAGTTTAAGTGATTATCTGTATTTTTATTGGATCTCAATACCCACATGACTATTTATGTATTATGTTTCAGAACTGCTGGCCACTGAAAATCTTAAAACAAAAAAAACCACAGCATCAATCTTTCAAAACAAAACACAAATAAAAAGAAGAAGAACAGTCGTATTCTTTGCTTTCCTGTCATGTCGGAGGTCTAGCTGGTACCCATTTTGCAGCATCATATTTTATTAACTGCTCTGGGGAACTTTTTTCGCTCTACTTACAATAAACTACCCTCTATCCACTCACTCTCTCTCTGTCTCTTTTGCATACACATAAAAATACACACATATATACTCAAACAGACACTCATTTGACATCACATGCAAGTCTGTATGAAGTGCAGAACTTTAAAAGAATTTAATTGAAACAGAAACAAACACTGTCACTTCCACACAAGACTTGTAAAGGATACATTAATGGAAATGTGAAAGACTGAGAAAAGACAGCATATATTGGTTATAAGTTATATATAAAACACTTTGCTTTATCTGTCTGGTACCTCCAGTCTTATTTTTTCCCCTGCAGCTTCAGGTGTCTTCCTGCATTTCCACATCTGTCACCTAAAATATACGTTGCACCATTCACTGCACACATCTACAGTACAATAACATGCATTTTTTTGTGTGTGTGTGTGTGTGTGTGTATGTTTGCACTGCATGCATGTAAAGTGGAGCTGCAAGGAGCAAGCGAGGGGGATTAGGGTCCCGTCTCTGGAAGGCACACAACCTGATATGACTTTATTTAATCTCCTCATCCACTTAAATTAGCATAACCCCATTCTCTCTATGCTTCCTGTCCGTCTATCCTCTCTTCTTCTCCTCTCTCATTTTAACCCCCCCCATTCGCTCGTTATCACTCGTCATCTATGCCAGCTTTGTTTCTCATCTACTTCCACTGGAAAAGGAGCCATCTCACAGCAGGCAGTCTAGTGAGACAGCTTACGTCAGCTGTTTCTCGGCGCAGGATGGCCAGAGATTTTAGTTTTTTCTTTGGGAGGCTTTGGTTAGGCTCTGCTTGGTTCGTGGTTTATCTGGAGTCTGACAGGTTCCCATGTGGTGCTATTTGGCCACAATTCAATATTAGAGAAAGTACTGGTACTTAGATGTGTGGTGTTTTGTTAAATTTATGCTGTAACAGCAAATAAATTGATGGCTCTCTGCCATTATATCAATGGACGATGTGTGTACATATACTGTATGATTCACCACTATAATAACCATTAAACTATAACACAAAACAAACCATAACACCCATTGAGTGGGTTGCTTGCATGCTGCAGCACAACCAAATGCGACATGCTACTTCATTGTGTGCACTCTGAAAGAGACATCTTGGCCATATTAGATAATTATACTGGGACATGACCTTGCTATTGCAAATGTTATCTCTTTATCATGTTATCCTCAAGTATGTACACGTCTATAACCCAGGGCTCAGAGATCTTCCGTGTATGGTGCCAACATATTTTATTAAACAGCATTCATCTGGGTAACATGCAGTCGTACCAAAGGCATTCATCCACTGCTGACCAATATAAATATGGTATTGGCCTCTTAAACGTAAAATAGAAAGTCATGTATAAATGTAATATAATATGGTCAAAGGAAATAACTGTGGAAATAAAGGGTATAAGTGAATAAGTAATGGTCATTATTTCCATGTCCTGAGACTGAAACATCTACAGTAATGGTGGCTCACAAGCCGTTCCAACACTTTTTTAGTGGCTATCAAGGATGACTGGACATATGGATAAATGCTTTTGTCTATACATGAAAAGCGAATATCACAAAGAAAACATTAAAAATCTGAACACTAGCTGTAAACAAAGGATTGAATTAATGAAATAAATCATCACTATCCTAACTTAATCACTATAAATGCAATACAAAACGATCCATTAAACGCTCAAACAAATCCATATAATATTAACCAGATAGAAAAAAACAGGGGGGAGTCCTTATTTGAATTGACATTGGTTGTTTCTTTGTTCAACCCTCTAATGGCTTATAGAGAAAATAGACTGACACGCCTAAAGAGAGGAGTGTGTAACAAGTAGTTGCAGTCTGCAGGGTTAGGATCATTGCAGAAAATAAACTCCGTGGCAAAAAACCTTTGTGATCTTTTTTGTTCAGCATGATAGTCATCACAAATGAACACCACTTTCATGATTTTTGAAGTCTAAATCACAATATTTGCAATATAATTTATAAGAAAACTGTACCACAGTCGCATGACTTAAATGTCATCACCATTAAGCTTCCAACATGTAATTTGATTTCACGTGCTTACCTCTTCTACAAAAGCGTTTCCCCTTAGTGTGACCTGATGTAGCTAGTGGTCATGGCTGTGTCAATTGCCAGTCTCAACAACACTGAGCGTGCGCTGGTCTATGCCCAGCTGGGAAGGTCACTGAGGACAGTCGCCACATGTTACCGGGTTGTGAAGCTGGATGTAAATCTCTTTCCTCCCAAGTGAGCCTCAGAGCAGTCAGGGCCATCATGATTTGAACTTTAT